AATCTGATAACTTTCTTAAACACAGAAAGAACACGAGTCGGTGTGAGTTCAAGACACCAGAAGCCAATCTTTCATCTTAAGGCTTTATCCATATTTTCATATTTTCCATCTTTATGTCCTCTGTTAGCTTGACTAGATCCATACTTAGAACATCAGAAATGTCTGGCAACTTGGACATGGAAGCTTATATAAAGTGTAAGAATTCCGATACAACTCACAGCAAAAATGGAAAAGTCGAACAATTTTGGACATTTTGTGCTCATGATTAAATCCAATAGTGATTCCCTGCTCCTGCTCCCAGTTCAACCCAGGTCCACAAAACTGAAGGCAAGGGCCCGCAAGCGGGTGTTTAGTTTCAGAGAGTCACTAGATCCCTGCTGCATGCTGCCCACCTGACATCACAGGGGACAGATGAACAGGCATTCTGTCACCCCTTGTATCCTCCTGCTGCACAGTGTCTCAGCTCAGCTCTTTCTGACGGCAGTGAGCAGCTGTGATGTCATGATCCGATAAGCAAACCAGGGCCTGACTCCTTTTTTCTGATAGTTTCATTCAGTCTGTTAAATACGCTTTCTCAGACAGAAAAGCAGCCAGGGAAATGTCTCAAAAGCCTAACATAGTATTTGGACCACATCTCTGATTTTGGTTTTTGAAAAACTAAATACGTTTTATGTTAGCTATCACAGACTTGAAAAGGACTCAAATATCGTATGTTCCAGGAACTCAATTTTCAGATGAAAACTCTCAAAGTGGGAGAACTAAAGTAACTAAACAGAGGCCACACGGCCGGGAAGGGACAGAGGACGGCACAGGAGGTGGGCCTTTCACCTTCCATGTGGCTGGCCCGAGACCACCTCAGGATTTGACTCACCTAATGTCAAAAAGGAACACAAACGGCTAAGCTCCCAAACAAGCATGCTTAGAAGTGCACGGATGCTGTGTAGCAGGCTTTCCTCCTAAGGTACTGGTGGTATTTAATGACATATCATCAAATGGAAGGGACAAGCCTTGTCCTATGCATTATGGGATGTTTAGGATCATCCTTGCCCTCTACCTACTAGATGCTAGTAGCAACTACCCCACTTAGGCACAACCAAAGTGTCTCCAAATACTGATCAATGTCCTCTGGGGGACAAAGTCACCCTGTGAGAATCAGTGCCACAAAACCATGCTTTCTACGCATCCACTGGCCAAGAGGAAACTGCCACTCACTGCTCCAGGTCAGGGGCCAGAGGTGTGGGGTGCTCGAGGATCAGCAGTGTCACATACAGATGGGAGGTGCTTCCCTGGTTTCTTCTCAGGAAAACATGCAGTGGCCATGTACAGAGATGGACATTGTCAGGAGAGCCACAAGATGGTATAAAGCGATAATGAGGACACGGAATACAAATTAATAAAAGGAGAAAAAAATTGAAGAAAGAAGAAAAGGAATTGGAAGAAAGAGGTCACCAGAGAGAAGGGGTTTTAGCATTCCAGAGTCTGGGGACAGAGCGACCTATTATAAAATAAAGTGCTATGTGTTCATCAGGCACAGTTCTTTCAAAAAGGCGACTCAGTTTGAGCAAAGGGGTCAAGAACTTTCCACCAAGTCACTGTGAGGCTTTGGGAAAGGACTATTGTCCCCAGATGACGGACCCCTCAGGGGAGTACTGTGTGAAGCTCTTTGTTAAGGTCCCATGTGCTTAGAACTCTAAAGCCCTTTAAAACAGCTTAGCCTGGAGTTTCACCCACATTAGAGTTCCAAGTGTACAATGAATTTCAGTGGGACTTTAAAATAATGAACACAGCTTTTCACATCCAGGGTACAATCAATTTTCCTAACTGCTACTTCCCGCAAACCTATTTAATCCTGAAACACCCTCTGGGAAACAGAAAGGCTCTGGGTATGTTTCAGGCTGTACTCTTCTTGGCTATTCCTGTGGCTAACTGAACACTAACTCCAGGTTTGATTGGCTTCCCACACGTGTGGCTAACTATATGCTTCTCACTGAATCCGCTCACAGGTCAAGCACACCTGTCACGCCAGTCTCTGGATTCTTACCGTTTCTTTTCTGGATATTCTCACAAACACCCATTAAAAAAGGATCCTCTTGAGAATTATTTTAGTGCCTTTCCATGGATGAACAAAAGCAATTTTAAATATTCTAGTCTCGTGATTTCTAAACCCTAAAGTGCTCAGGACTCACTCAAGGATCTTAAGCTGCAGATTCTAGTCCATTAAGTCGGGCTAGAACAATGGTTCTCAACCTTTTTAATACTGTGACCCTTTAATACAGTTCCTCATACTGTGGTGACCCCCAACCATAAAAATATTTTAGTTGCTACTTCATAACTATAATTTTGCTACTGTTATGAATCATAATGTTAATATTTGAGTTGGAAGATAATCTAATATGCAACCCCTGTGAAAAGGCCACTTGACAAACCCCAAGAAGTCACGACCCACAGGCTGAGAACCACTGGGCTAGGAGCAGTTCACCTTCATTTCTCAAGTTTCCTGGATGCTGAGCCGCTGGTCCTTAGGACCATGGAGTAAGCATTGTGGGCATGGATGCCTCCAGACCCAACCCATCCTGATGACCTATGTTATAATGCTTCCCCATCTACACAAAGCTTGTACAGCAACCGGCCTACAGCTCACCAGGGAAAATCCAAACCCTTTGTGAATGATTAAAGCCCTTCACAGTGTAATCTCAGACTAGTTTCAGCCCCACAGACTCTCCTGACCCACATGCAATGCCATGAAGTAGCTCCAACAACTCTCTGTTGCTTCTCGAAATCCCACGTACACTGAATTTCCCTGATCGGCCCTGCTGGTCCCTCTGCCTGGACAGCCACTGCCCAAGTCTTGACCATCCTTCACCTGTCACTTCCTCCCCTGGCCCATCTCCTGTAGCAATAATGTGATGGTTTCTCCTACCATAGCTTGCCCTGGAGTTTTAAATATGTACATTAGCTTGTCTATTTTTCTGCAATAAATTACAGAAAAGAAATGCAAGGTGTCTAGATCCTACTTAGAGGTTAAAAAGACTGTTTTTCTTACTTCCACACCTACAGTCCCTAAAGTGTCGGAACCACCAGGGAATCTTGTGGAGAGCTAAAGACTATACAGGAAAGCTCAATTATGTTCCCACTCTGGTTTTTGGCCCCAAATGAGTATTTAGCAGTAGAGATTAGTTTTGGATCTCAGAGTATCCATCCCATCTGCTCCAGAACATAACCGTACAGTGACCTCTATCCCCACACCATGGCTATTTCTCCAATATCTTCTAGATCATTCTCATCAGTGTAAACAATTGCCCATTAAAATAAACCACACATGGTACACAAATCAAAATGCCTTCCTAATCCCCAGATCACAGACTATGAGATTTCTGAATCCCCGTTTATGGCAAAACTGTTCCTGTCTACATTTCACCATACTTCCATTCACCAAAACCACTTGCCCTTATCACTGTGACCCACAGTACTGCTGGGAGGACATCACCTCTCACACCCCTCTTCAGTTTGCACATGGCAGCACTAGAGACGGCAGGTAACCCCTCTGGAACTCCTCTTCACAGGCTTCTGAGGCACAACTGCCTCTTCTAACTTAACTTCCCCCACTCTGCTCACCCCACAGCGGCTCTAGTCTCCTTCAACAAACCTTCTGTTTTCACTGACTCAAAACGGTAAAGGGAACCAAGGGCCAGTCTCTAGCCCTTCTCTGGCTCTCCCCTTCAGTTCCCAGGAGATAGCAGGCAGCATTATGACTTTAAATACCACCTAGGCTGTCCAAGTGAATACCACCATCCAGACAGCCCATCAAGACCAGACTCACCGATTACCTCAAAATTAACATCTAAGATTCACTTGCTGACACACACTCCCACCAAACTTGATCCCCATTCCCAGTCATGTCTCAGGAAGGTTCTAGTATAGCCCTTGGTGGTATCCTTGCCCTCTCTGTCTTCCAGATAAGCCATGTGTTTCAGCATCTACACAAGCAGTACACCTTAATCCTCGCTTGAGTCCAGACTCCCATCACCCCTTGCCTGGACCCTTATCAAGGTGCTAACCAGGCTCCTTGCCTCTATCCCTACTGCTAACCTACCTTCCACAGAGAACCACAGCTCGCCTAAAAATGAAGGCTGCAGGGCTGCTCTCAACGCCTTCCTCAGAATCAAATTCAACATCCTGCCCCAAGTCCCTCACCGCCTTACTATGTCTGCACTACCAACCCCTGAGTTTCATCCCGACACCTGCCATGCTGTTCTCTCACCTCCATCCTGAACACCCGCCATGCTGTTCTCTCACCTCCATCCTGAACACCCGCCATGCCGTTCTCTACCTCCAGCCTGAACACCCGCCATGCCGTTCCTTCACCTCCATCCTGAACACCCGCCATGCCGTTCCTTCACCTCCATCCTGAACACCCGCCATGCCGTTCTCTACCTCCATCCTGAACACCCGCCATGCTGTTCTCTCATCTCCATCCTGAACACCCGCCATGCCGTTCTCTACCTCCAGCCTGAACACCCGCCATGCCGTTCCTTCACCTCCATCCTGAACACCCGCCATGCCGTTCCTTCACCTCCATCCTGAACACCCGCCATGCCGTTCTCTACCTCCATCCTGAACACCCGCCATGCCGTTCTCTGTATCTCCATCCTGAACACCCGCCATGCCGTTCCCTCACCTCCATCCTGAACACCTGCCATGCCGTTCTCTGTATCTCCATCCTGAACACCTGCCATGCCATTCTCTCATCTCCATCCTTAGACCTGCCATGTCATTCCCTACATCTCCCTGCTGCATCACTGGATCACTCTAACCCCACCTCAGAGTCTCTTTCATATCTTTTGCCTACACATCACAGGGCTTGGCTCACACCTCATACCCTGTGCTCCAAGTGCTGGAATTGCAGGCAGGCACCACCATGTTCTTGCACCCCTGAGCTCAGTAAGACGCCACTCTGACTGAGAGCTAGTGGGACTGCTAATGAGAAAGAAGACACTCACTTTCGGATCACAGCCTTGGACTCCGATGAACTCTGACCTCCATCTTCTTCATAGTTTGGGCCTGTCAGGTTTCCATACCTTTAAAGATTAAAACAGTCAAACAGACACAGTCAGAAGGCTGCTCTATATAATGTCGAGCACAAAATAAGATGTCAGGAGTAATTAAGAAAATAAATATATATGAAGGAACATGAGAAGCATTAACAAGAATACGTGATAGATAGACCAGTATACTCCAAACAGAATCAGAATGTAACTACCACACCTCTTTAAAACGTTCTCCTAATCTTCCACAGTTCCTGTAATTTCTTTTACACAACAGGGTTTCATCTCAGCAAGAGCACCAGACATTACCTGCTATAAGGAAGGCAGATTCCTCATGAGCTCTCACACACAAGCTAATTCCCACCCTCTGATGTCTCTACACCAGGCAGACACAGCTGTGTGGTCACAGTTCCAGACTTGGGCCACACATGGGCACAACAATGACGTATCCTCGAGACACTTGGGAGTGTGGTCTTCTTTTGAAAAGACCAGTGTTGGAGGATCCTGGAAATAACTTTGGGTCTCAGAGTCTGGGGAGGAGATGAGGGCTGAAGGACAGTATTGTGTCACTGGCACCAGGCCAGCAGCTGTGACTGCACCGCCACCAAGCCGGGCTGATGGAGACCCAGTACCTGAGAAGAGGGGAACAGGGGTCCTACTTTTGGAAAAGCTGTCAGTGCTTAGAATTTAAGGTTTTATTTGTCACGAACTCAAATTTTTCCTAAATAAGTTGATCAGTTGCTAAGTATACTATTAGCTTTTTATTTCAACCCCATGTGTAGCTAGTTGATTTTATACTAAAATGTCACATTTTGTTGGAGTGGCTCAGTGGTAGAGTGCTTTGCCTAGCATGTCCAAGGCCCAAGCTTCTATCCCCAACTCTGCAAGCCAAGTAAGAGAATATGCATTTAATCAGTTGACACCCAGTCCCTAAGGAAGATGCCATTAACTCAGAAGGGCTGAACTATTTCTGCAGTTCCACCTCCCAACAAGAAAGAATTCGAAGAGTCCCTAGAGTTTACAAAGCTGTTTGTCACCCCAAGGTTTTGATACCAGAAATTCTACATTTGGTGGGTTTACATTTTTAAAGAGCACACTTTATCTTGTATAATGGGATTAAAGGCTCTAGTACTCTATGGCTCCTTGTTCCTAGAATTTACAAATTCTTTACAAAATAAAAGCCCACCATCTGCTTTGACTGACTGTCGTCCATCTGGTGCCCCCATCACCCTATCCTGACAAGTTCCAGGTTGTGCCTCTAGGCAACACACACACACACACACACACACACACACACACACACACACGCACGCACGCACGCACGCACGCACGCACACACACCCCTGTTCTTTCTCCAGCTCATCAGCCTTCTGGGTTTCTTGGCCACACAGAGGCATTTTCCATGGTCCTGACCTCCTAGCCTCTTCACCCTTTGCACACCTGAGCTGAGAGTTTCTGGGGCTGCCCTCTGCTCTTCCTGAGACAGGAGCTCAGCGAGACTAAGATTTCCTCACCCCACATTGGCCAGGCAGGAGAGGGAAATAAACAAAGTGGGATTCTTTTGGCCCCTTCGTTGGCCACCACCATCGTGAACTGTGTCCCTGTGTTGCCTCAGAGAGAATTTTGTGGTTTGCTGAAGTGGGAGAGGCTGGGGAGGGTGCAGGAAAGAGGAGGCCATTTGCAAGGCCGCCCAGCTTTCCTATCTCTCCCTGCAGCCCTCACTTACTAAATAGGGCACTTGATCTTTGTTTTGTTACGTTAATTTGTCTATGAGTGTTCTCTCTGCAAATGTCTTTTATCTTCCAACTAGGAATTGTGAGGGGTATAAATAGACAAGGAGCGCACTTCCAAGGAAAAGATACACACTATTGCTCTGATAGCTGGAGGTTTTAACTCCAAGTTTCCAGACCTTCCTGGACTTTTGTCTCTAGTTTCTTGGGCTCTCCTGCTCTTTTTTGGGTCTTTTTGGAACTTTTTGGAGGTTGGGTAGCACCAGGACCTATCTCAGCTGTCCCCCTAGAATATGATTTCACCATGGTCTGTCATTTGGTGCCAAGAAAGACTATGCATACGTATTCTTGCACATTAATTAGCCTGTTACCATTGACGATGGCTAAGATCATACAACTATTCATTCTCTTCACTGCCGGAGTGTCCACAGTTCACAACTAGGGCCAAGGTGATGGTCTAAAAATAACTCAGAGGCCTCCAAGAGCTGTCAATTATCAGCCATAGGTTAGAAGGGCATAGGACCGAGTTGCTCAAATCTTGCTCCATCCAACCCAGGGGAAAGCCTCCAGCTCCATTTACGACATACTTCAGTGTAAACACTTCTCCTGTTTCTACCCCGCCTCTAACTACCACCCTCTTTGGGTTAAAGCAATTCACCAGCCACTTAATTAAGCTGATCTCTTGGCTTCTGCCCAGTCATCACAACTATGCTGTTCAAGGAAATCAGATCATGGTCCTTCTCCATTCAGACCCCTCCCATGATTCCAATCAGAGAAAAGACCATTCTCACTTCTCTTACCGACCCTGAAATCTTCGCCTCACTGCGCTCTACCCATATCTCCCACATTTCCCCTCACCCACTCCTGTCCATGGCCTCCACCTGTCCCATGGACCATCAGTCACCCCTCTGCTTCACAACTGTCACTTGCTTCTGCCGCTTCCCATGGCAGGTTCCCTCAGCCCCTTGGGTCTTTGCTGCTGCCTCCCCTGGACATCCTGTTTAAAATGCAACCCAATTCTAACACCATCCCCTTCACCACCTTATTCTCTACAGCTTTCAATATCTTCTGAAATGGTATACAGTCAGTGTTTTCCTGTTGGTATCTGCTAGAACATGAACCTCTTTTTTGGTTGTTTTTGTTTTTGTTTTTCCAGACAGGGTTTCTCCTGTAACTGCCCTGGCTGTCCTGGAACTCACTTTGTAGACCAGGCTGGCCTCAAACTCACAGAGATCTGCCTGCCTCTGCCTACCAAGTGCTGGGATTAAAGGCGTGCGCCACTGCCGCTGCCGCCACCGCCACCACCACCACCCGTCTAGAACATGAATTTTATGTGAGCGGCATCTTTGACTCTTGTGCTCACTGCTCTTTGGAGCTTAAGACAAGGCTTGCACCCTGCTGATGCAGGTGAGTAGTAAGTGTTCCAGTGAGGCTAGAGCAGATGTGATAACACACTGCTCCAATACTAGGTTCAGAGGCTGCAAAAACACCATCTGGCCCCAACTCACACAGGACCTTAACCTGTCGGTGCTCTCATTTCTAAGGGAGCACAAAATGTTCATTTTAAGTTTTGGCTGTGGTTACTCAAAATGTCCAAAATTAACATGAAAAAGTTTTAAGATTTTTAAAGAGAGATCGGAAGGTGTTAGCAGGATGAAGCCATAAGGTGTATGTGCTATTCTAAAGCAGACAAAGGGTGTGAGAACCTTCTAGAATCGAATGTACTGGGCAGGGGTGACTGCTCTTATACTTTTCTCATTGTTATGGGGAATTGATGCTCTACAGGAAAAACAAAATGTATCCAGCTCTGGAGTCGAGAGCTCTTTAACGTTCATGGCAGAGTCGGTTTTACCAGACCAGGAATGCCTCTTTGATGTTTCCCCAACCTGCTCACGGCTTCCCATCAAAGTCAAGGCAGTAAACAGAGGGTGTGCATGTGCTTAATTAGTGGAGCAGAAAATCTACAGACAAACCTGTCAACAATGTCATCTCCAATTCCCACAAACCCTCCTTAGGACTAAGATCAAAGCTCAACCCCCTTTGGCTTACCACGGAGCAAGTGCCCCCCCTCTTTAGAAAACTGAAATCAAAATCCAAATTGCCGGATGACCTTTGACACGGTTTTCTCCGTTGTCGCCAGGCAAAGGAAAGATTTACAAATGCCTTGTACAGTAGAACTGTGGGCAATTATTTACTGCAGCCTGAAAATTACCTGAATGGGGTGGCGGGGGGCGGGGGGGGGGGGCTAATGTTTAAATAAGGAAGAGCCAACTCTAAGGGTTTTCTTTGAAACCCATCTGAGCAGACCAAGTATTTAATGAGTATCTGAAGGGAGGGATGACCAGGGTGTTGGTAGTTCAAAGAATTCCCAAGTTGTCCAGATGCTGTCTCTCTGTAGAGGGATCTGTCACATCATTCTGCCCCAGCAGGAAAGCCTCAGTAGAAGCCGCCAGGATGGGATCATCCTGCAGAACTTTGTGAGTCCTACTTGACGCTGGCAAATGAGCCTCTGGTAAGAGCAGGTGATTTGTTGTAGGCCAGGAGCTGTGCCAAGAGCTTCTCGGGACTGTGTCACTCAGTTCCCATAACCATCCCACAGGGTGGTATCATTCTTCAAAATTCACGGGAGGGGGAAATGTGACCCAGAAAGCTTACTTAATAACCCCTGGATGACACCATTGGTAAGTGGAGCAGGGATTTGGACCTTGACAGGCAGGCCTGGGCCCAACGCTAAGTCACTGCCCTCCCACCAAGCCGTAAGGCCCTATCTACTCGTTCATTTTATGATGTCAGGACCTTGTTCATTCATTTATGAATTTATCCTTGGACTTATTCAGTCATCATTGGATGAAGATTGTTTATTAAGGACTATGTCCAGGTACTTACTATTCCAGACATTAAGAATAAGGCATCAGGGGCTGGGGAAATGGCTAGGGAAGTGGGTCTAAGTACTTCCGAAGTGAGCGTGGCGATCTCAGTTCAAATCCCCAGTAGCCACGTAAAAAGCCGGACATGGCTGCACACAATGAAAACTTCGGTGGAGGATGGAGACAGTAAGGTTGATTACTGGGGCTATCTCCAGGTCCAGTGACAGACACTCAAGAGAATAAGAGAATTCCCAAGAGAATAAGGTGGATAGAGCAGAACACCTAACATCTTCCTCCCGACTCTGCATGTCCATGCACACACTTGCCCATACGCCACACATATCTACACTCAACACATATGAACACACACATACACACACACACACACACACACACACACACACACACACACACACACACAAAGACACACATACAC